AAAATTGAGTCTGGAATGTCGAAAAACGGCCACGAGGACCCAAAAACATTATATTTGACCTTTTCGGGGCCAAAATTGGGCCGAAAAATGGCTTGGGACAGACTAGCCGCCGGCCGCCTCCTCCACCGCCTGGCCCGAGCCATGACCCACCTGGCCCGTGCTACCATACACGCTCTTGCCTGCCTTGCGGCCCGCTTGACCTGCACTTCGGCTCTCCTGGCACACATCATGGCCAATGTTGTGGCTCGCGCTACCCGGGCGTGGCTGACGTGGCCACGCCTCTGCATTGAATGGCGCTAACCGTAGTCATATGGCTTTTGTTGGCTTAACCTCCGGCGCTTAAGTAAAAAAAAATTCAGAATAAATGTGTGATTATTCCTAAGGATTTCATGCTCTTTTTGTATATTTAAATATTATATGTTCAGCTTTGCATGTAATTTTTTGAGTTTTCTTATATTTAGTATGGATTTTTTCAGAAAGTTCAAATAACTCGTCATAGGATAAATCATATATCCTCTTCATCCAACTGATTAAGCTTGCCTATCATTAAGCAAAAGTTTGTGACTTCCTCTTCTACTTTTGTTTCCGAGGAGTTTGAAGGTGAGTCCTCCCAGAATGCTTTCTACAGTCTTTTCTTTCCCTTCCTAATATTGGTTTCTCCTCAACTTTCTCCTTACTAGGATTAGTTTTAAGATTCAAGCAATCAAATTTAATATGTCAAGGCTTCGTGTATTCATAACAAATTATGTCATTAGAAACTTTTGCATTTTTGTGGAACTTACCCTTATTCAACTACTGATGTCTCATTTGATTTCTTCTTAAGAAACTTTTGAATTGCCTCATCATGAATGCAATATCTTATTCATCCTCACATTGTGACTAATCACCTTTCGAGTCATCCACTTTCAACGCAATGTTTTTCTCCTTCCGCTTGCCACCTGCATCAATCTTTTTTTGAGTCACTCCTTACTCGTAAACAATCAGTGACCCAAGTATATTGTCAATAAAATTAGCAATTAGGTCTTTTGATTCAATTATGGCAGTTATATTTGCATCATAACTACTAGATAAAAATATAGAATTTTATTAACTTTTTTTAGAATTTACCAGTTCACTACCTAAAGCATGCAATGAGGTTATTATTTATGCAAAATGAGTAAACATGCAATGATTGATTCATTCAGTTTCATGTGAAAATATTCATAATTGTGTAATAGAATGTTTAA